AGTACAAAGTAAAGGAACAAAACAAGGACGTTAATCAAGGAACCAAACAAGTACTTACCTGCTTGGTCGTACGTTGTAAAAAATGAGAGTATCTTGTGTGTGTGCCAAGAACTTTTATAAGGGCCCTAGGAATAATAACAATAGCATAAACCAGAGCCGGCTCCTATAAAAAAAAAAAAAAAAAAAAAAAAAAACAACATTACCGGAGTAGTGAATTTGAAGAGAATGGAAGGTAAAAATCATTTGATGTCATTAGTTGAAAGCATGATCGGATTAGTTGCTGAATTTGTGAAGAATTTGCAGAAACGAAAGATAAAAAAGAAACACTACAGATCTCGGTTGTGTTATGTTTGTCGACGTCAAGGACATTTGGCCCGCTCTTGCCCAGATCAAGCGAAAGGTGAACGTCAGAAAAATGTTATGGACGTACGGTTCATAAAAATCATTGATCTTGAAGTTGACAATTATGAAAATGAAGATCGAAGTAAAATAGAAAAAGAAAAATCTGCTAAAGGAGACAATCTAAAAGGACAATGCAACCTCAGACTGTGCCATCAAAATGATATAAGTTCCTATAATGGCGATGAAAGGATGGTTAAACAAAACTTGAAATCAGATAAAAGCGCAATTGCAGCCAATATGAGTGATTTTGATGGAATACTTCCCGTGCAGCACGGTTATCAACATGGAATTGGAGTCGATAAGGACGAACAGGAGGCATTCGTTTACCACCAAAAATCTGCCAATATGGACAATAATGTTGTGAATGTAAGGTGTGTAGTAAACGTATTGAAGGATAATGAGGCTGAGTTTGATTATAATGGGGGTGAAGCTGCAGATGGCAGAACAAATGAATCTGGAAGAGATTACCACGAAAGTAAAATCAAAAATGGAAAAGATGAACAAAAGGCATTTGTTCAATGTCAAAGCCTCGGGAAAATGAGTTTTGGTAATGAAACACGTGATCACAAGTGTGATAATAAGAATAAACGATGCATTGGATTAGGAGAAGCATCTATGAGTTACCCAAGCACTATACGAATATTGAATAGCATGTTAAAGGCTAAACGTAATGTGAATAATTTTGTAAGGTTAAATGGTGTAAGCTGCCGAAGGGTGAAAACAAGTGGAAAAGTCGTGAATAATATGTATGCGAGTTTAGTTGAAAGTGCATTGCGAATCAACAATGCGAAAATTAAGGTGATGAATACCTTGAGATTTGAAAGTAATGAAAGTTTTGATAAAGGTAGTAATGATCTAAAAAAAGCTAGACACGTTATGTGTTAGTGAAAACGAAATTCAAAGGTTTAATCGTAGCCCGATAGTATTTGAAAATGTTGGAAGGAAGAGATTTTTCAAATGACTATATTTAGACCATGTGATTGGGAATGATGGCCTAGTTAGTGCAGTATTTGGTAGTCGTTTTGAAGTGAGAAAACTTGGTGAGATGGATATGAGATATTGTAACTTCGAGGATGATGTACCTGGGGATCTAGCTCCTGTCATGGTGATGACCAACACCTCTTGTATTGATATTGCTAGGGTTAGGTACGATCACGGGTTACCTGATCGGGACTGGGATTTCGTGGTACAGATTAGGATCAGGGTGCATAAGTGGCATGATTCGGATTTGCATGAATTGCGTGATCGTCGAATTAGTAGATGCATAAAAGTAATTTAAAGTCTAATTGTAGAATTGCATAATGCGTGTAACCTGGGTAATAATATATCTGGAGATAATCTTGTATTTAAATTTAGCGATCTCTAATAATAATAAAAATAACGAAGTTTTAGCTAAGTGGAAAAATGTTCTAAAAGGAAAAATTGTGTGGTCAACATCGTAGTAATATTGGTGGAAGACTTGGTACGATACGCCAGTGCCAAGTGAGTGCAAAATCTAAGTGGAAACCCCATAAGTGCACTATTGCATGACAATACTTTCATCTTCTATGAAGAGTATATAACCCTAAAAGAAATATCATTAAGTCTCACAGAAGATAAAGGCAAAAGATTCAGACAATTACTCGAAAAATTTGCAGACCTATTCGCATTAGACATTAATAAACTAAGACGAACTAACCTAGTTACTTATAGAATTTATACCGAAGATATACCTCCTATAAATTCTTGACCTTATTCGATACCTCCAAGTAAACAAGCATTTGTCAAAGAAGAAATCCAACAAATGCTAGACAACAAACTAATACAACCATCTAATAGTCTATAGACCTTTTCTATTGTATTAGTACAGAAGAAAAATGGTAAATTACACTTCTGTGTAGACTACAGAAAGCTAAATACTATAACCAAAAAGGATGATTACCCGTTATCTCGAATTGATAAAATGTTGAATACCCTCACCAGATCATATTAGTTTTCTATACTAGATCTCACTAGTAGATATTGGCAAGTACTATACACCCCAAAGATCAGAAAAAGACTGCATTTGTTACTTGCTATGGAATATATGAGTTCAATGTCATGCTCTTTGGATTTTGTAATGCCAATTCCAACAATTAATGGACCAAGTTTATAACAAGACAGTATGGAGATTTGTAGTAGTATATTTAGATGATACTATTATATTCTCTAAGATCTTTGATGATCATTTAACCTATCTATGAGAAGTTTTCACTAGAATCAGACAAGCTGAACTTCGATTGAACATTAAAAAATATAATTTTTGATGCAAAGATTACCATTTCTAGAACACATAATCTTGTCTAAAGGAATTGCTCCAGACCTTCAGAAAATCAAAGCTGTTCAACAAATCTTACCTTTTAAGAATGTAATCTAGTTACGATCTTTTCTAAGACTAGTAGAATATTATCACCAATTTATTTGCAATTTTTCTGCAATTGCAAAGCCCTTGAATCAACTTCTTCAAAAAGACGAACCTTACAAGTAGACCGAAGCTCAACAAAACTCTTTTGACGAGCTAAAGCAAAGACTTATTAGTACTTCTATCCTTAGCTATCCAGATTTCAAGAAGATATTTTCTTAGCAACTGATGCTTCATATTATAGATTTGGTGCTACCCTTAGTCAACTCGATAATCATAATAAGGAACATCCTGTAGTTTATGCTAGTAAAAGCCTAAAGAAGGAAGAAATGAACTATGGAGCTACTGAATTAGAATGTGCTACCATAGTTTGGGCTATTAAATATTTTTATAAATATCTTGGAGCTATCAAGTTTATTTTAGTTACTAACCATTATGCTCTCAAATGGTTATGTACTGCTGAATCTAAAGAAAGATTGGGCTGCTGGATACTCAAGTTATAGCTCTATAACTTTGAGATTATTTATAAATCAGGACGAATACACTCCAATATCGATGCCCTCTCATAACTACAGACTTAGACCAAAGAACCCAAGTCCTTATGAATTTAGACTGATACTATCAATTATATTAGTATTTAGATACAGACACAATATCTAAAGACTTCACTGAGAACCAGACAAAACAATTAATTAATCAAGCCCAATATTTTGAGATTAGACACCACTTACTTTACAAAAAGAATGAAAAAAACCCAAATAGACCCTTACGAGTTATTAAATAGACAGAAGTAGAACCAGTTCTCTATATGATGTATAAACATCCTACTGCTGGACATTTAAGAACAAACACAATATACTATAAAATAGCTGAATGATACTATTGGGACCAAATATATTAAAACATTAAGGAATATGTACAGATATGTGAAGACTGCCAGAAAAGACTAAAAGAAAAAAGAAAAGAACTTTTACACCCAATTCAAATTGGACGAGCCTTTGAACGAATTGGAATTGATCTAGTTGGACTTCTACTAATCACTGACCAAAACAATCACTATATTATTGTAGCAATTGATTATCTAACTCGATAGCCAGAAGCCCGTGCTGTATCTAATGCTAGAGCCAAAACCTTAGCGAAATTTATTTTCAAAGAAATTATCTGTAGACATGAAACCTCTAAAATAATCTTATCTGATCAAGAAAGAAAATTTATTAGCACTACTGTTCGAATACTATATAAAAAGTTTCTTATCAAATACAAGTTCTCTTTGCCATATCACCCCCAAAATAATAGAATGGTTGAACGATTAAATAGAACACTTTGTGAATTACTTGTTAAAGTGAAAGAAACAGATGAAGATTGGACATTTACATACCTGCTATTCTCTTAGCATATCAGACCAAGAGATATGCTACTACTAGTTATACACCTTTTCAGTTAGTTTACAGAAGACAAGCTACCCTACCTATCAAACCAATTTTGTTTACTAAACCACTACCAGACCTGAATGCAGAAATAGACCTACAAAACAGTATATTACAACGAGCCTATGATCTAATAGAGAAGCTACCCCAAGCACAAGAAGAAGCTCGAACCAATACCGAGAAATTCTAAAAGAAACAAAAAGAATATTTTAATGCAAGAATCAGACCAGAAAAATTTGAAATTGGTGAAAAAGTTTGAATACAAATTAAGGCCTTAGAAAAGTTGAGATCAACTAAATTTGAAGATAAAAGAGAAGGACCTATATTATTCAAGCAAAACTGAATAATGGGGCCTACAAATTATAAATATTAGATGGAAAAATACTGTAAAAGTACTATAATAATGATCTACTAGCCAGGTATTATGAGAAACAAACATAGGAACCAATCATTGTAATCAAAAATCTTTAATTTCTGGAAGAAATTTTACTGAATAAGGAGAGACAAAGACAAATTTTGTAAAACAGACAATTATACAACTTTAAAAATTAATAAAAAATCAGAATTATGTTTAAAATTTCTAAAAGTTTAGTATATTAAAATTCATATTAGTCGTATAATTCATGGTCCTTGTCAACTCTTTCCACTGATCATCAAAACACAAAATTCGAAAAACAAAATTAAGTTAAAAAACTACAAAAATACACAAAGGCTATTAAGAACCCTAACTTGAAGCTCTAAGTAAAAAGGAAGAGGGCTACAAGAAATACTCAGTCTCTTAGAAGACTTGAGTTGTAAAAACTTGAACAGCAAAGAAATAGAAGAAGTCGTAGAAAATCATCGATATTTTTTTGTACTTTGGAAAATTTTGGAGGATTGGCCTCGACCCTGAATCGTAGATTTATTTTGGTAATACAAAAACACAACACGTAATAAAAAATAAACAAAAAAAATATGTTAAAAACCACGTGATGAAAACAAACAACAGCACTAAACAAACAACAACAACAATCAACAACAGTAGTAAAACAACAAGTCACGTGAAGCAAATTAGCAACAACAAAGAAACAACAAATCATATAGAATACTTGGTAAAAATTGATAGAAGAGAGCTTAAAAAACAAGAAGCAGCCTATCTACAACCAAGAAATTATGAAGAAAGACAAGCATTTTTTCAGCAAGAACTTGCACGAGTGTCTGAGAAACAAAGAGCAGTTATGATAGAACAGATGATAGAAGCCTCAGCAACAGATGCAGTAAAGTTTATTACAGTAGAAGAGGCGAAGCCAAGGATAGAAGCTCTATATGAAGAATTACAACAATATAAAAAAGAAGAAATTCAGTACTCGGACCTTGCACTTAGAGAAAGAAATTTCCAACACTATCGTAAAGCATTGTTAGGAGATATAAACATAGCTACCTACATTATAATTGAGAAAATAAATGAGCTTATGGTTGCAGTAAATACAATGGAGTAGGTAAACAAGATAAAAGACACCAGGGCAAAACAAGCTGCTAAAATAAAGTCAAAATTTGAAATAGATTAGAGCAAGAAACTTTAAGAACAAAGAAAGAGTAGACAGTAGCAGCAAAATAAAATAGCCTTGAAGAATCTAACACTTAAATTCAAAGAGTCCGTTGATTCTATGGTAGCAAAACAACATCTAATGAAAAGGAAAGCTAAAGAAGAAAAAGAAAAGATGCAAGCCCAATGAAAAGAAAAACAATTAGCAAAATTAAAATTGAAACTGGAGTTGGAAGCTCGTCAAAAACAAGCTGCTGAATTAAGGTCAAAACTAAATGCAGATTGGAGCAAAAGACTTCAAGAACAAAGAAAAATTGACAAAAGCAGGACAATGAAATGGCATTAAGGACTCTAGTAATATATTTTAAAGTATCTGTCAATTTTACTGTAGCAAACCTGAAAAGAAGAAAAAATAAAATCAGAAAAGAAAAAGAAAAGAAAAGCAAGGGACAAGATTTCCTAGGTTTTACAGAAGCAAAAACGCTAAACAAGATTCAAGAAGAATCAAGACCAAAAACAAGACAGGATTTCCTAGGCCTTACAGAAAAAAGAA